GTGGATCTGTTGTTTATTTTTAGCTTTGCATTTTTTATTTTAAATTTATCCATATGCACCAATGGTTTATTTTTATAAAATTTATTTTGTTCGTTTTTCATTTAAATTTTATCGTTTTTTTTTGTACTCCAAGACCCGGTTTGCTACAGTCAATAGGGAAATGCAGCCGAGATGAGAAAACACTAAAAGTAAATATATTAAAAGAAGACCAACGGAGAAGGTGGCATATGTACATATGTAGTATGTAAAACCGTTAAAAGGCAAATGAAGAAAATTTTTAAGGTCAACTCAATTCACTTTCTTCTAATAAAAGCAGAGCTCACTAACATCTATGTAACTCACTGACTGACTGACTGGCTGACAGGCAGACAGACATACGACATGAGTAACTAATGGCTCTGTGTGGCTGTGAAAGAGCACCGGGTGCAAAGGGTAAATGACGAAAAGGCGATGATAGAATAGCAGCGCGAACAACAAGCTATTGGATGAAGATGTTGATGCGCAAGCAGGGTTGCCACTGATGAAAAAAATACTTCCGCTGGAAAAAAAATTACCTATAACATTTTTTAGTTATTGTAACTTTTCATTTAACTATCGCTATGGTATTTGAGATCTTATTAATGGCATCTTCTCGGACTCTTTCAACCAAAAGCGAAAGTGATTAAACTAAAGGCAACAACGAAACTTCGTCATTTGAAAAAAATAAAACTGGAGTTTTTTGGGACAAATACAGAGACTCAGCAACCCCTTGGTTATTTTTTTAATGTTCTTCAATTAAAAATATTTTTTTGCCGTTTGTGTAATAATAAACAAACCCATAAAAATCAAGGATTAAAGCTATATACAAAATTTAGAAAAAATCAAAAAAATTTTGTCTGAATTTCGAGCTTTGCAGCTAAAAATCCCCATTGATTTTTAATTTTTTTTCTTTGTAATTTATTGTCGCCGGTCTTTTGTGACCTTTTTCATTTAGCAATTGTTATTTATTAAAACTGGGGTGGATTCTTATATTTTTCTTGCGTACAAACATAATGAGTACTTACATACCCGTTAATTTATTATATTTATTTAGAGAATCATTTAAAATATTTAGGCAATCAAAAGCTCCTCAGAATTCCAGTAAAATTAGTTTTTAATGGAGCACGATATGTTCAACTTTTATCGATATACATACACACATACATACATACATATGTACTTATTAAAGCGGGAACGTAAAGTTTAATTTTATTAAACAAACTACTGTAACAAAACTCTACCAAACTGAACAAAAATCTACCTTTTTACCAGCCCAAATTGTGTCTACCAGCGCAAGAAACACACCTACAAACGCCTCACACGTATGATTATATGCACATAAATAACTACATATGCAAATGTAGATATGTATGTACGCATATATATATGTAAGACTTTCTGCTTTCGACTTTGTGGCAGCATCACACAAAATCTTATGTGATTTGACTGAAAAGTCTTAGATTAACTGCCAAAGAAGAGAAGATACACAAACTTATGAGTGCACGTACGTATTTATATACGAACATAAATATGTACGTATATGTATATGTATATATGTTTGGATACATGTATGTATGTATATACGCACGCCCACTGACTTGTAAAAATAATGCACCAAAAATACTAGCGGCTTGCAGAGAGCTCATCAATCTGTACACCTATAAAAACGTATATATGTATGTGTATAAACTAAACATTACACAGTACATACTCGTACTAAGCGAAAGTTTGTGGGTTGCCTTCATCACGTCCATTGGAGCTAGAAGCGGCAAACGTTGCTGTACTTTACAACACCAAATGCAACGTCATATGTGCCCAATTCAAGGGGAAGAAAGTGCTATTAGTCAATTAGTCAGCGACTATCTATACATATATGTACATATTTACAAGTCTTTAACATCTCCACAAATACCATAGTTGTGCAAAACTACCTAATTTGTGTCTAAAAATTATTCTAGTAAGCATGTGCTATGTATGTAGCTCATTTTGCCTAGGATTTCCTTGATTAATTCATTTGCGCCCATCCAAGACAAAATTTTTACTTTTGGTTTTTTGAAGTAACTTCAAAAATACATAACGCTTTGAGACTCGATCGCGGAATTGGAACGAATATTTTTTAGTCTTTTTATTGAATATGGCTTAGTCAAAATAATCTTGGGAATATAGATCGCAATTTTAGAATGAAAAAACCACCGTAATTTCCAAAGGCATTTTGTATGAAAAATTTTATTTTATTTTTTTTTATGATGTTAAAACAGATAGATAACTTGATGTATTATCTTTCCAGTGATACCTAATTTTTGTAAATAGAGCGAGAAGTAGTGAACTTATAAAAATTGTATCGATATTCGCCAAGCTCATAATTTGTAAGAAAAAATTTTTAAAAAGTCCTTAAGATCATGTCCGCCAGTTTTACTATGAAATTAGGCTTAAGTCTAAACATGAGAACTTGAGCATCCGTGGAAGTTATTCTAGATATCACTCTATCTTCTTATTAATATCCAAACTTCGGCGATGGAGTCTATCATGCGGTTGAGTGGTACCAACATTGGGACAGAAGAGTTTCTGAGGCGTAGAATGATCGATAGTCTAAAAAAGAAATACCCTGAAATTTCTATTGGGAATCCAAAGTTCAGTTTCACAAAATGGCTTAAAACTGGAATAACGGCTCTATTCTGTATCAGTGATAAATTTTTGTGACAGGTTTTATTACGGAAAATAAATGAAAAAGTTTAAAATTGTCAGTAAAAAATTTGATAGAACATATCGCACAGCGTCTTCAAAAGAGGCACATCACAAAATTACACGTTCGTCAGAAAATGCGAAAACCTATTTCTTAGCAGAAGCTAATCATATGGGCAAGGAAGACTTTAGCTTAAGCTTAACTTTTCATCAAATGATAACAAAAATTTGATCTCCAGTTTTTGCTGAAAGTTAAATAAAAGCTCACTTTTGAAGATCGTGAGCGATATGTACACTCGAAAGCATATCAAATAAACCAACACATAAATAATACATAGTTGGTACGGGGATAGTGAATTGATTTGGACCGGGTTTGAAATACTCGGGACCTGTGGGAAAACATCTGTCCATTTTCAAGGCAAACGCAAAAACCGGAATCAGTATGTTGCGATCTTAACCGACAGCCAAAAAGCTTTTAACGTCCTCAGATGCCTTAAGGTAGCATCTGAACTAGGATCAACGAATCGAGTTTAGCTAAAAAATTATAAAATACGCCAAACGTGTAAAGTCAAATCCTTAAACACTATCTTTATTAAATTACTCCCAGTATCAATTTTAAACCATTTCATGAATATTTCCGAACTGTCAAAATATAAATTCATCACAGACCGTAATATCGCTTTTATTGAGCAACTGTTAGCAAAATATTTGGAATAAATAAGAATCTAGCAAAATTCTTCATAATGAATAAACAAACAAGAGAAATAAAAAAAATCGTCCATTCGTCTTTAGTTTGGTAGACGCTTTACATAGTTGTTGTATTTTGCTCGTTCGTAGACTAAAGGTAAAACATTCTGTCTTCAATTTTCACTTTTTTTATTCAAGTTGGTCTTCCGCACTTTGCCTTCTTTGTATTCTCCTAAATATGTTTATACTTGTCTGCTGTTGACTTTCTTCGGTGCATATAAAAAGATATAGAGATTTGTATAAATGTTTGTCTGTATGTGTGGGTGGGCGTTGGTGCCTCGCGAAAAAAAAAATCCAAGTGAAGTTAATTTCCAATAAAAACGCAACACACGTAAAAACTATTTGGTGTTGTTTTCACTTACTGTTAGCTACTCATTTTCAAACCGGCAGCTATCGAAATTTTGTTAGCGCTAAGAGCGTTGCTTATTCACAAAGACCAAGGTAGCAGAAATTCAATGAAAAATGCTACACTTTGAGAGAAAAGAAAGAAATTTTTTTTTCTAAACTTCAAAAATCGAGCTTATCATTCCGACTTTCTTCTTAAAAACCACACATAAAAGACGGGTATATTTACATTTCGTAACAAAATTAAAACGAAACAGGTGAGAACAGGTTTCACACCTTTCGTAAACATCAGAAAGTTTCACTACAACCTATTACGGCTTTTCTAAGTTACTATTTTGGGAGCTAAAAAAAAATGTTTACCTTCACCACCTTTTAAAGTAAAACCCTCTATCTTAACAATCAGCTGTATGGATGCTATAGGCTAAAGTGGTCCGATCTGTAAGCTTTTTGTTGATAATGAGTGAAAAAGGTGCGAAATTTCATCTCTCTAGCTGCATATATGGAGGAGTTATAACAAGAAATATCATATCATATCGCCAAGATATGCAGAGTCGCTGGCAAGCAACCGTATGCGCCTAAAATATGGCAATTTGACTAAGATTCAAACTCATAAAACCATCAAGGCGAATTCATACAAGGTGGTGTCACCAGAGCCACCGAATTGAAGGCGAATTCCGCTGGTTGTCAAAATGATGTTGTAAATTTGTTCATGTTCTTATTGTCATTTGTTTGTGTAGTTTTTGTTTTTGTGCTGCCACTATTACCTTATATGAATTCGCCTTGTACTGTCTTCTTAAGCATAAAAACTAGACTTTAAGCCACAATTGCATTAAAATTGATAACTGTTTGCTCTGTCAGCACCTATGTAGAACTTCCGTCAATCACCCGTGTTGGGTTCAATAAATTTCAAATATTATGCGCTCATAAAAAAATTGTTAGTACCGCATATAATTTTGCTTCCGGTCTTCTTCCGGACATTAGCTCATAATTTGCCCATAATTTCACTAAATCTTCGACAAATGAAGTGCTCAACGTACAATAAACAAACAAACAAAAAATAATAATTTCTATACTTTTACGCTCCCCATCAAATATACATAGTGTACTAATAATGCGCAACAATTTAACATTCCCGCAGTGTGTCTCTAACCGCCATAAAATAAAAAAACCGAAAATAAACAAGAAAAAGGCATTAGCCTTACACTTACCATTTCTTTTCTTAAAATGGCTAATTGCGTATCCAGTGTGCTTCCTGTCACGCTCGCCAACGTACCACCGCCACCAGCGCCGGTGGCATTCGATGTGACGGCTGATTTTGCGGGCGTTGCTGACATTGTTGTGGTTGTTGTCGCTGATGTTGCCGTTGTTTCTGTTGCATGTGTTATTACTGTTGTTGTTGTTGTTGCTGTTGTGGTTGTAGCACTCGATGTCTTTGACTTGCCGATTGTATTGTTCAATTCAATTTCATTGCTTTCCAACGATTTCGCTAAATCAAAACCATTTTTGCCAATACTTTGATTGCTGATGGCAGTACTATTGCTATTGTTGTTGCTATTATTATTATTATCCTCTTTTTGGTAGTCTACCTTATTGTCTAGATTGTTGTTACTCAAACTATAATTGTTGATGTTGGTGTTATTGTTGTTGTTTTGTTGTTCGATATTCATGTCAGTATCGTCGCTAATCAAACCAGAATCGGAACCAAGCATTTTATTAATACCGCTTAGACTCTTTGGCAAAGGTGGCAGATCGCTGATAGACATAATTCTGAAAATGTGAAAGAAGAAAAATTTGAACAAATTAATAGTAAATTATTTTAGATAATGATAAATTTTTGGGTAATAATTTCAAAATACACAGCTAAAATAACTATTTACTTGTATGGTGTTTTCGAGGAATTCACAGAAACAAATACAAATTTAAGGCTTGATATATTTTTCTTAGGAGTATGTATTAAGGAACAAATATTCGCCATTATTTTTGTTTAAACGAGTATTAGTTTTCTCCGATATGAGATAAAGCGAGGAATGTAACCTTAATGCCATTGAAGTCGGTAATAAAATGACCCATATAACGTTGCTTCGTTAGAAACACATAGTGCCTGGCCACCGAATTTTCCTTCTTAACCTGTGTAACAGTGGTGCGAGTACCTTCAATGCAGCTGCTATGTAGACTGGTAGCCGTTCTGACATATTAGTATGATGTTCGTCCCCTTGAAATATCTGTAGTGATTTCTTGTTTAACGCATTCGTAGGGAGACGCTTTTATTACATCCTACGTCTTTGAAACAACAAACTCTTCACCAATTGTGTAGGAAATCTGCTCACCAAACTTCAAAGAACGATCACGGTATGTGGCACCACAGCCTTCCAATTACCCTTAAACTATCGACTTTTAATGCCTCTAACAGCGCGGGGCCCTTGGTTATGGTTATGGTGATGTAAGGGTTGGTCTACAAATCCATTACAGCGCGACCAGATTGGATCTATTGTGCCTCTAATTTCAACAACAACGGTTAGTCGGTTACAAATCGGACTATCTCATCGTATAGTGTTGGGCAGGTAGTAATGAGGTGGTCCTTTGTTTCACCACAGAATATGAAAACGTCTCTACTACAGTGGTCAAGCGTATGCATGTGTTTGTGCCACGCATAGTGACCCCTGTTGCCTGTTTTAAAAGACCAACGTTCTCGAGTAGGGCAGCTAGTTCCATCAGTTTACCATTTTTGTGAATCATCCTGCAGTCGCTCCAATCTTCCGCGAGTTGTTTAAGTTAAGATCTGGAAAGCATAGCTTCCTTTTTCTAGTAAAAGGATAACCGTAGCTTTATTGGGATTTATGGGCGATTCCATCTTTCCCAAACCAGATACAGGATATATTTAGGGCGTCCTGCAGCAAATCTCTAATGGTCCTTTCATGGTCCTCCCTGATGATAATAAAGCCCTTAAGACCACTTAAGACCACTTGTACACTTAAAATAAATTGTTGCAAGTATGACAAGAGTACAACTAAAATAGCACACTGGTGTATAACTTGGTGTAAATTTACGAATTTTGGTACAAATCTGATTGATCGTAGCGAAATCCACAAATTCACATCAAGCTATACACCAGTGTGCTACTTCCGAATGTGGAGTGAGGCGGAAATCGCAGTAGCCAGAAAACTAGACGTTAATGTATTTTTAATGGCAGATAATGCTACGCCACAAATACCTACATACAGTAACAATCAAATTGCACTCAAGACATTGGTCAGGTCTCTTGCTACTCTTGTTGGTAACATAAGGAATTATTTAGAAAATTTTTTCTTGAGCTGAACTCATTCTCGATAAAAATTTCAATACAACACCCATCTGTGACTGCTAAAATATACAAATCTGTACAAATGTACGAATCGTGTGATCCCAGCTTTACCCTGAAAGCCATATCATTTGAGAATGCCTGGTAAAGCCACATCTGAGCATTTGTCTAGAAAGGACTCAGCGAAAGTATTTCTTGGGCAGCAACCAGTTAAAGCACACCCAACTGAAGATTGTATATCGGGGACTTAACGATAACTTAAAGGTTCAGCGTAATCTTACATACATACATACATACATACATACTTGTTCACTGTCTTATTGCGTCTATTAAAAATTTAACCAACTACTTAATCGCTCTATTCTTCTGCTAATTTCTGTGTGTTCATTATACAGCACTTTCATTTAAATGCTAATTCGACTTTCATTATAATGTTGCCTTTTTGAAGTGAGAAATGCTTTCTTTAGTTTTTTTTTCTTTTTTCGCAAATTTAAATTTTTATGTGGTAACTTCAGATTAAGTCGCAGTATTTTAGTGATTGTATTATTATGCAATTTGTTAGTTACACAAACAAGATGCGCATAAACACCCCCTAACAAAAATGTGCTTTTCATCTTCCATAATTAGCAAGTTATGTAAATAAGACAAAAGACACAAAGAAAATCAACACTTTTTCGAACAAAAAAATTAATTGTGAGAAGTGCCGAAATTGGTGAAGGTGATGGTTTAAACATTTTTGCTTTTTTTTTTAATTAAGTAAAAGTTGTATCTGTAAGACTGAAAGCTGCTATATATATTTGTATTTTATACGCTTCCCCTTTCCAAACTGAGTCAACACGCAAATTGTACAAAATTCTATTTAAATTAATTAATATCGCTCGAGTAAGGCAGCAGAAAAGTTTTCACGCTAAATAGCATAATATATGCAGCAGGAAATAGGGATAGCATTTGTTGATGCTTTCTGCAACTCCTTGCCGTGACCGAGAACAAAAGGTGTGATTGAAACTAAATGTCGTTCTTGTAGTTTCGTTCCCAAGAACGCTTCAAAACGAAAATCAAAATGAGAACAAAACTGCCGAGAACGTTCTCAATGGGAATTATATAAAAATAAAACACTTTGGAATCTTCTCAATGAGAACACACTACGAACAATACTTTCGGGAACATTTCTAAGAGAACAAAATGGCAAAAAAAAAGTCAAAGGAACTTTCTCTCGAAGAGCAATTTGGGAACTAAAGTCTCATGAACTTGCTGACAGAGAACAAAACGGGAACAAATCTTCTCTGAACTATTCGCGAAGAACCGAAGCGAGAACCACTCTTTTCACATAGCCTACATTAGTTTGAAATGTTTCAATATTAAAATTTGTCAAAAAAGAACTTAATCATAATTACGCAAATAAATTCAACGAAAGACTTAAGACACGAACTTTTCTTGCACAGATGATGAAAAATTGTTCCATAAATGCACAGTTCACCCTAATGATAAACGATCTGGAGATTGAAATGATCCAGACTTCAAACTGCTCTCAATACTTTGGTTCCCCTTTGGTTCTTTTGTGGGAACGTTCTTGACATGCAGAACTAAGGCAAAACTGGAACGCGTTCTCGATCCCTGCTTTTTAACAAGCACATGTGTCTTACTACCTCTTTCTAGCCTTTTCGAAAAAATGCAAATCAAGTCTTATTAAACGATTTATTCCAAGAGATTTCTAATACCTGATGCATTGATAATTCCGAATGAACCGAATAGTAATAACTATTTTTTGCTTTTCTAAAAAGCTGCATTCTAACAAGAAAAAACGCAAAAAATATTTGGTGTATCACTTAGAAGACCTTGAATATCCTTCACAAAGTGAAGTGGGTAATTCCTGTATATTTTAATACTCCTGTGCGGATACTCAATACCTGGTTAAAGATCGTTATCGACGTGATCGGCTCCATAGCAAATCCTGTAGTTAGTCTTAATCAGACCTTGAGTAATCAGACCTTAAAATTAGGTTTCCCATAGCATCCAGCTTGTTGAAAGGATCCTTTTTCTCAGAAGCAGGCGCAAGGCGGAGGCACCTAGATACCTGCAGCATGACCAAATTCCAGAGTGTAACTTGAAAAGATCGGAGGAGCTCCTTATGCTGAGCATGATCTGCGCCAACTTGCAACATGCCACATACTTTACTTATCAACTAATACACATCTGAATTACAGTTAAAGTTGCAACAAAAGCCTTCAAAATAACGGTTCATGCATACTAAGCTATGGCTAAGGGAGGCACGCGGGACAAAGAATGACGCGGAGTGCCATATAAAGCCTTCTGCAGGAGCTGCAGAACCAACATGAGCCTAAGTCAGTAAGGCACTTACTTTGTGAATGACCCGCCCTGGATAGGAGAAGATTAGGTTTATGTGCACTGGAATCTTTGCGGACCTGAGCGATATAACGTGCATAAAGATATGGTAATTGGGTTTAATTTATTAACTGCGCATATTAGTTTGTATAGCAGGGAGGTAAATGATCCTCTTTGTAATAGCGAAGAGCCCGATTGAGGGCCTAAATAAGTATACTGGTCTATCCACCATAGGCTTACGTAAATTTTCAAACCGTTAGTTTGGGGATTCTACTGAGCTTTGTACCACGATTGTTTATGAGGAAAAATTGAAAAAGCAACAAAGGCTAATCGGAAGTCTAAGAAGAAGTTATAGCAGCTATTTCGGAGATTACAGACTTCTTTTTTCTACACTTCAGCAGTTTATAGTTATCGAGCTATCCATGTTTATTCAGTTATCGAGTTACTCGAATTGATCATTGTTTATTGAATTTTTTGAAATTTATAGACATATAAACTTAGTTGTCGAAATTTATGGTTAGTTATCGAGCTCCAAAAATGTGTGGGATTATCGAAATTTGCCAAGTTAATGAAATTTATCAATTATCTATTGCATTATCAATATTTATAGCGCAAACGAGATTTATAGAGTTATCATAATGCGTCGATTTTTTTCAACTTATCGAGTTATCGATATTTATCAATTTACTGGAATCTGTCGATTTATTGAACCAAAGTTTTAAAATTTTCAAAATGCATCGTGATATCGAATTATCGAATTTTATCGTGTTACTAAGGTGTTATGAAGCTATCAAAAATCACTTAGTTATCCAGATTTATAGAGGTATCCGAAGTTAATCGATTTATCGATTTATATCGTGATATATACAGTTTTGAGTTATCGAAATTTATGTAGCACTCAAAAATTATCGAAATTAGTTGAGTTATCAAATTTTGTCAGTTATGGGATTTTAAGTGTTTCTGAAATTCATCGAATTATCAATATGTATCAAATTATCGAAATTTTTCAACAAATTGGAATGTAGCAGATCATTCCCAAGTCCTGCCAAAGTCCTCCAAAGGCTTTCAAAGCTATAAAAGATTGTAGCCACGTTTTAATTCCAAATCACGAAATTTTTCGGTAAGT